TTATTTATTTTTGAAGCTTAAATAATTTGAAAGCAAAATAAAAATGGTGATTTAGATGAAAAATTGAAGATTACTTAACAGAAAAAACTATTGAGTTGGATTAGTCAATAAAATAAATGTAAAAATTGAACACAAACTCTGAAAAATTTTAGACAATATTGTTCTAGATTTTAAAGAAAATATTGTTTGATTTTACAAAAATAAATTCAAAAAACATTTTAGAATTATGTAATTATTATGAAACTTCTTTTTAAAAAATCTTTCATGATTATGATGATAGATCTCAAAACAACTTATCATATTTTTAATTTTGTAAAAAAAAGAATCTAAATAAATTGATATAAAAAAAAGGATGAGAAAGATCGCTCAATTATGGCTTTGTCAGTTTTGGCCAGGGCATCGATCCGGAACTGAACCGTAACCAAAAACCGTTAAAAACCGAAATTTTGCTCGAAACAAAAACACTAACGAAACCGAAATATTATTTGCTAGCTTAACCGAAAACCGTTACGAAATAAATAATAGTTCGATGCTAAAATTTTAAAAGAAAATATTTTTGTCAAATTCAGAAAAAATATTATTTAGATAATATAGATAATATTTTGTCTTTTAAAATTTTACGGTAATTTTTATTATCTTTGAAAATTTGTTGTCTTTCTTTTCGTTAGCTTTTTGAAATGAGTTCGCCGATCATTTGAGTAAGATTTGCCACGTAAAGAGGAATGCAATATAATCGGAGAAGTTAGAGAGCAAGTACGATCATCTTCAAAATCTTTGCAAATTACAATTTGCAAAAAAGTTTGTGAATAATTTTAATTTTTACAGATTAATTAAATATTTCGTTTTGTTTACTTTTTACAAGTTTAATAAATTAAACATTAAACTTTGCGGCAAGGTTGGAAATTCGCGCTCTTATCGGTATACGCCGTTTTTTGCAGTTTTAATTTTTTCGGGTTAAAATCGTAAACTTTAATGACAATAATAAACAACTTTAATGACAATCTTTTAAAATTAGAATGGGACGAAACCGAAAAAACGCCAGCTGAGGATTTTTTAAATATAAAAAAACGGAAATTAAAAGTACTTGTAACATTTATAAAGCTGATTATAAAGCATTTATAAAGGAGATCATGCTGCCAACTTGGAACGTCATTTGAAACGTAACCATGATGAGAAGTTTGAAAGTGTTCAGCAAAGAAAAAAGTTAAAGTATGATGAAAAAACTAGCTATTCCACCAATCACCCAGATAATTGTATAGAAATACTAGACAATACAATTTCAAAATTTAAAGAGTTGAAAATCAAAAGGCCAATATTAGATTGCCTAACCAGATGGAACAGTACATACAATATGATGACATCATTATTACAATGCAAACAGTTTAGTTTAACCTTAGCAGAAAGTAGTCTTGATTACTATTTTTCTGAAGATAAATGAGAAAAACTTAATTTATTAGCTACTACACTCCATCCTTTATTTGAGACAACATTGAAACAACAAAGTGAGCAATTGACACAGACTGATTTCTATGGTGTTTGGGTGGATTGCAAACTAAAATTGAAAAATCTGAAAAATTTTTTTGCAGAGACTTTATCAAAAAATTTGAATGTAAAAGAAAAGTTGTTGTTAAACTATGAAAGCTTGTTGGGATCACCTTACTTAGATCCAAGATTTTAGATATTGCTTTCTCTGTCACAAAAATGCATCTAAAGTTACTTTGGAATGAACTAGTGTTTTTAGAAAAATCTGAATTAGAACCTGTAGCTTCTTTAGATGTTACATCAAGTGAGTCAATTGGTGAGTCCATTCACATCATATACATATATATATATATATATATATTGCATATATATATATATATATATATATATATATATATATATATATATGCAAATTTCATTGAAATTGTTTGCCCATTTTGCATTAATTCTATAAGACATTCAACGAGGCGGTATTGCTTGAGTTCATATTTATCTAAAACTGGAATAAAGCTAACAGCGCTGTTTCGGCGTAATGCCATCTTCAGAGCCTAAATATTGTTTAAACATATAATTTAATTAAAGTAAATGCCTAATGTAAAATGTGAAAATATAGAAAATAAAATATGTATTAAATTGTGAAATAAATTAACCTTGTTGTAAATATCATAATAACTAAAGTTTATGTAGATTATATAAATAAAATAATGTAATTTAAATAAAATGTTTAGTAAAATAATTAAAATATAGAAATTTTATAAAAGTTTTAACATGGTTGAGAGACGTTAGTGAAAACTAATTACGAATGACATGTGCGCCAGACATATAATATTGCTGTGTATGCGCTGTGAATACAACCAT